AGCATCCTTGATTGTAGCAACTCGAGGTTTGAATTTGTTCTTCAGTTCCTTGAGCTTAAGAAATGCTGAACGAGTTTGGCCCTTTTGACTTTCTGACTCTAGCTCCTCACACATTTCATTGTAATATTTTGCTTTGTCATTCCCAGCTGCCTTTTGGAATCTTCTGTTCAGCTCTTTAGTGTCTTGAATCCTTCCTTGTGCTTTGGCGTCTCTACATTTCAGTGCAATCTTCAGAGTTTCTTATGGCATCCATTTTGGTCTTTTCTTCCTCTTCTGTCTTTGTAATGATCATTTGTACTCTTCCTGGATGATACCTTTGACATCCTCCTACAATTCATCTGGTCTTCGCTCATTAGTGTTCAAGTTTTCAAACCTGTTCCTGAGATGATTCTGAAATTCAGGTGGGATGAAATTAAAATCATATTTTGGCTCCTGTGGATTCGGTTTAATTTTCCTCAGCTTCAGCTTGAATTTGCATATGAGTAGTTGGTGGTCTATTCCACAATCAGCTCCTGGCCTCGTTTTCACAGTTGATAGTGAGCTTCTCCAGTGGTTTTGAATAGCTCCTTTTGTTTCATCCAAGGATGATTTTTCTTTCTAAGTATGCTAGCTGTCTATTTTCCTCATTATAATGGGACAAACTCATTTTGGTTCACATAGTTCTTCAATTTTATCCCCTAAGTTTGTTCTGCGTTTTTCTTACAATCACAATGTTCTACAATCTGGAGAATGGAGAGACTTTTAAAATTTCTTTTTACAGAAGAAGTTATTTTCTGATTAAGGTCAAGCTTCACAATGACTGTAAAATAATTCAGACACCTCCTGTCTTCCTCCATTTTCTCTATACTTTATTTCTTTTGTTCCAATTCATCTGCTATCATTGTTTTTCATCTCAAAAGAGCTATCTTTTTGTCTGCTTTCCTTTTTAATTGCAGTTTTGCAAGTTCAGTTTCGAGGTTTGTAAATAATAAATTATGTAAATAATTAATAATAGTATATAATAAATTATATCTTTTTGAGAGAGAAAAAGAGATGTTGAATGGTTAAAATACAGATTACATATGCAAAAAGTGTTACAATGTTAATTACTTAATACATGTATGTATATAGTCCCACAAAAATACTGTAGTAAATCAACTGAAAAAAATAAAACATACATATCAGGAATATAGCTTGCAAATCTATTTTACCTTTCCCAGGTAAAAGTTATTGAGAGATGACAATATGGTTCTTAGGAGTCACATGATTCTAACTACTGCCTCCCTTTTCTCCTCTACTCAGATTCGAAGCCAAAGCAAAGCCTCTGGGTCTGGGCTCTGTGAGGGGGATGAAGTGGTCTCTATCAATGGCAACGCTTGTGCAGACCTCACCTACCCTGAAGTCATCAAGCTCATGGAAAGTATAACAGACTCTCTCCAAATGCTCATCAAAAGGTATAGCGTATTTACCACAATATGCCTGTTTTTTTTCATATTGGTAGAGGGAACAATGATGGTTCTTCTATATGCATAACTTGTCATTTATTGAAGACTAGGGATACTTTATAGGATGTCATTATAGTTAAACATCGACAAAGCACATTGTTTAGAAGATGGATAATTCTAATCAATAGAATATTCTAGTTGTCTGAGAATTAACTTCAAAATCTTAATGACTTTAGTTAGGTTAGTTTCTTCAAGGCCTAAAGAGGAATAAATACCTCTCTGATATTTTTGTTCCCCTTATAAGGATGACGGGTGTGCTAAGCCAACAGGGGTGAGTTTTGTTCCAGGATCAAGGAGTTATTTATTAAGGAAGTTGAACGCTGACCATAATTTAATACTTCTTTGCTGGGTCCACTAAGTATAATTTCCAAATGAATTAAAAATGTTCAGCTGTTAAACAGTTACAGTGTATAGTGATTTTAATAGAAAAAATGATACTTTAGAAAAGGAAAAGAAATTAAAAACAAATAAAAAAGCCTATTTGCCAGCTTTAATGTCCACTAAAGCCAGTATTTAGGGATGGGTAGAAGGATTTGGTTAAAATGAGATTTTTTTTTTACTAACCTTATAAGATAACCACAATAAAGCAACAAAAAAAATCAATATTTTCATAGTACAAATCCTAGTAAAAGCCACACTAAATTTGCAAATGAGACCTTGATCATTGTGTTATACTGATTGATTGCAAAGCACTGTAATGAAATACAAAGCTCTGGCTCCATGGAGAACATTCTTCAGGAAGATGTCAGAGGACGTTTCCTGACAATCCACAGAATCACAAAGCTAGATGCAGGCTCCAGAGACCTGCCTTAACACTGCAGAAATACTGCATTGTTGGTGGTGGGAGATGCCAAGTGTATTCTGACCGAAAGGGACCTCATGTGAACTGTCCAGTGGGATCTTGGAAGCTGCAGTCTATGCAGAGGCACATCATCAAGTCTTTTCCCCGCCAGGTGGGTTCTAACCAATGAATGACTTTTTGATTAGCAGCCAAGTGATTAAATTTGTGTCCCCAAAACACCTTGTCTGCAGCATTATCCCTCAAATAATCAGTTGGTTATGACGTCATTTATATATAAACATGACCACACTGTGATCAACATCTTAGGAAAAGAGAAGAAATCTGACCTTAATCTTAGGCATTCTCATCTAAATATTTACCCATAAAAACCAATGTTAAAGTTTTAAAAGTCTTATTTCAAAGATGTTAATTGCTTTTAAAAGGCATCTCTCAGGAATGTCACCAAGTATAGTCAGTATTTGCTCTTACCAGCTATACAGCTCTGAAGTATTGAAGCCTTACATCCCTGTAAGCATTTAATTACATCCAGAATGGGGGGGGGAATCTCTCTTTTTTTATATTTCTTTTAGTGATTAAATGGGGACAATTTCTTGGGAACTCATATGTCATCCAGGATATCCCCTCCCAATTCTGTTTTGATTGTGATAACTGTCCATGGGAAAATCCTTGCTAGCATAAATCTGACTCTTAGGTGCACATTTATTATAATAAATAAATGAGCTAATGATCTGCTCTTTTAATACTAAAATTATGGTTTTTATTTTTTTAAGTATTTAACTTTTACTTAGTTTAAAAAAAATGCTTATTTGGTGATATTCAAAATGGATTTGTTGTTGTTAGGTGCCATCATATGATTCATGGTGACCCTATGATCAGAAATGTACCCTATGCTATGTCATTGTTACCATCTCTGCTATATATAAGCCCATCTCACTGAGGGTCTTCCTCTCTTGTTGTGACCTACCTTTCCAAGCATGAGGTCCTTCCTTAAGCAATGGCTCCTTCTAACAACATGCCCAAAGTTTGTGAGATAAATCTTCACCATGCTTGCCTCCCAGGAGCACCCTGGCTGCACCACTTCTGGGATATATTTGTCTGTTCTTTTGGCAGTCCATAGAATATTTTGTACCTTCTCCAACATCACAATTCAAAGGCATCAATTCTTCTCCTGCCTTCCTTAGTCATTGTCCAACTTTCAGATGCATAGCAAGGAATTGAAAATATTGTGGCTTGAATTAGGTGGATCTTAGTCTTTACAGTAACATCATTGCTCTTCAGCACTTTGGAGAAGTTCTTGACAGCAGATTTTCCCAGTGCAACACATTTTTTTTAATTTCCTGACTGATGAATTAGTAAATTAAAATCAGCACAAATGTCATCATCATAATCATCACCATCATTCTTAATAGGTGAGCCATGTTTCCTGGAATTAAATATTTTAGTCACCTTCTAACAAGATGGGTTGACCATAATAATGAGTTTATACATATCAGAGATTATCAGGATGATACAGGATAGGGAAAGGTTCAGGTGTCTTGTTCATGGGGGTTTTATGAGTCATACTCAACTGGAATGCATTTTACAATAATAGCATCACTGGAGAATAAGCATTTCAATTTTCCTTACCCAAAGTTAATGGAGTAAGACTCTCTGAAGAGGACCTTTGAACATTTTATACTATTATTAATATTAAAACTATAAGGTAGAAAAAATTAGACTATTCCCAAATTCATTGTCAATAGTTAGAATTCACTCATAGCTGACCTTCTGGAGGGTTTTCAGAGGCTGTGCATTGCTCTAGAGGAGGTTTTCTATCTTGTGGGAGCTCTAGAGTAGCTCCCACAGAGCCACTGGTGGATTTGAACCATCAGCGAGGTGTCACATTTGGGTCAGCAGTGAAACTTGCTACAGACTACACCACCGGAGCTCCCTATAATTATGACATATAAATTATGATATTGTGAACTGTATATAGAGTATAGTACAGTATACTATATATAGAAACAGGGTAATTTTTTTAGAAATAAAGTTACAAACTTTATCTTGTTAGTACTTTTATAATAACTATTAATTAATGAGCTTCTACTTTGGATACTAAAAAATTTCAACATTTATCCAGTCCATTGGCCTTCATTTCCATTTATGAGTGGAATGAATTAAAACTATCCTCTTCTCAGCCTTATAATTGTAGCTAACAAAATTAAAAATTATTTCATCAACTTCCTTTCTAATGTCTTTCTAAATGAAAATTATTTCACCTTTTTGTACCCTTAAGTTCAGTTCAATAGGATATGTTGTTGTTGTTGTTAAGTGCTGTCAAGTCATAGACGACTCATAGCGACCCTATGAACGAAAGACCTGAACACTTGTATAACTTTCATCGTTTCTCCAGGTTCACAGGGTTTCCAGAGGCAAGCAATTCAGAGGTGGATGCTACCCCTGCTTCCAAGTTTGTTTTAATCAGGGAGATCCACCAAACTCTGTCTACCCTGAGTAACTATTATCACATTTGACACATCAGTGTCACAGTGTTTATCATCACAGCAACCACGAATTACCTCTGTACATCAAATGGACAGACCATGCTTTACCACTTAGGAGAGTGTTTGACCAAAAACAATTAAAACCAGGCCTGAGGGTCCAAATACCTTTTTAAATTGGAGGCTGAATACAGTCAACTCACAGTCAATGGCTAATAAACAATGCACCCAGTGTCACACCAGAACCAGAAATCAAAACCTCTGTAGAGTCAGGCTGTTTCAGAATATTCTCCACCTGGATTCCAGCTCCATATGGTGACTAAAGTGCCTTTTTAAATAGAAAGCTGAATATAGTCAACTCACAGCCAATCTATCATAATTTATTCATCATTTTCTATGTAAGAAATAACTAATTTGTTGTCATCAACTACAATTTGTAGAGTATATGTTTTAAAAATATTAAATGATCAGAAATCTTTACAGGTTACTTGTATCAGAAGTTGCCTTTTATTGGGTTTTCAGTTTTGTTTTATTTAGTATTTTGCTGTATATGCGAGACATCATGTTTGAGAGGGTGGAGGGACAGTGCAGGAGAGGAAGACTGTCAATGAGATGGATCAATTCAGTAACTGGGGTAATGAGGGTAAATGTGTTAGAGACAATAAGGTTGGCACAGGATAGAGCAGGGTTTAGGGCTCTTGTACGTAAGGTCGCTATGATTCGCAAGTGACTCAATGGCACATAAAAGTAATAGCAACCCAAAATCAAAGATAATAGTAAATATTTTGAGCATAGGTCTAAAACTGAGTTACTAACTTGATTCTAAGTAGAAGAGAAGGAAGGGCTCACTCCATCTAGGTGATGACCCTGCATTCATCCAGGTGTATTTTGAGGCAGAGTAAGCCACTGCTGCTGCTTTAAAAAAGAAAAACAAAACCCAGTCTTACAAATTAAAAGAAACAAAAGCCATCCCTTATGCTCCATCTCATGTCAAAAGCATTTACAGTTTAAATTACACTTTTAGACATTTTTAACCCCTATATTGACATAGCCTCTTCTTCAAAACCTAAATTTGCAAAGCCAACTGGGAATAGTTATGGTCAAAATCCAAACAATGACTGTGGAGAACAGCTCTAGGCCCCTTACCTTAGACATAAGGGAATAATTTGACTACAGGGATCCAAACCTTCTAAGAGAGAAGCTTGAATACAGGAAAGGGAGACTTCTCTGATTATAAATACTCCATGACTTAATGATTCATTGCAGCATGGAAAAGATTTCTCTTTACACAAGAGTACTGGGCTAGGGTCCACTTATTGCAAAACACATGCTCCATGGAGCTTTAAAAACAGCTTCTATTTCATTCCTTTCAAAGAAAGTGCAGCCTCTAAAAGAGTTGCTTGAATTATCTGTATGTTAACATTGTTATGAAGACACTGAATGTGTTTATGCAACTTTATGGTGTCTGGGCTCAAACTCAGTCAATAAGACACTGAAAGGCTTTGTCATATTTAAGAAAATAGAACTACTTGGCGACATCTATAAAGAGCATCATGAGCTTTCAAAAAGTAAAGCCTGATTTTCAGCCTTGACTTAAGTGTCACAATCTTTCATAAGCATTTTATTGTTGTTGTTGTTGTTGATTTTGTGCTTTACAGAGATGTTTATTTACAAGCCCTGTAAAGAATACCGTGAACAGGTGGCCCATTTCTACTTTTAAAATTGTTGCTGTTGACATTTCAGAGGAAATATTTTGACTGTATTATGTATGAGACTTCATAAAAGTGTCAGGGAATTCTTTGGCAGGTGTAAAATCTTCTGGTTTAACTATCTGGAATTATTTTTCTGTGTGCAGACCATCCAGTGGAATAAATGAGACTTTGATCTCGGAAACGGAAAACAAAAGCCAGGAGCACCCCACACAAGGCAGTTATGTGGAAAGTACCACCCTGCAGATCCAACCAGCCACAAAGACCCCGGATAAAGAGATCTGTGCCACCTCAGGCAAAAATGGAGTTTTTCTAGAAGACGACCATGGAAGTGGTCTCGATTATTCAGGAATCATCAAAGAAGAAACAGGCCTGAGTTACCAAGTGGTTCCCCAAATACCTGATTCCCAAAGAGGACACTTAGCAGATGAGATTATTTTAAGGGAGAAAGTAGAAGCAGGGCAGCCAGGCCCTGTGGTTGAGCTACAACTATCCCTTTCACAGGAGAGACCTAAGGTCACTCGTACCCCCACAGTGACTCTTCTGGGAGCTGAAAAATCTAAGCCTCATGAGTCAGACACTGATTTACAGTGTGATGGGATCATCCACATAAATTCAGTTCCTGCTGAGGAGAAAAAGGACCCTTCTCAGAGGTCCAGCAAGATCATCCAGATCTGCAGCAGCAAAGAGTTGAGAGTGATCCCAGGGAGAGAAGCAGGAGACCCAGGACTGCCCCAAGTGGAAGTGATCCTCGACTGCTCTGACAGGCAGAAGACGGAAGGGTGCAGGCTGCAGGCAGGAAAGGGGTATGTGGATTCTCCAGTGGAAGGAGGGCAGTTAGAAGCACCTCCTTCTCTGGTATCCTTTGCAGTCTCATCAGAAGGCACAGAGCAGGGAGAAGATCCACGCTCGGATAGGGATTACAGCAGACCTCACAAGCACAGGGCACGGCACGCACGTAAGTCTCCCTGTCAGAGGGGCTTGTATTTTTCTGCAACTTTGCTAAATGAACTTTCTTATTTTAAAAAAATTTCTTGGTTTTTAAAAATTTGTCTTATATCTCTTGTTGCCTATGCTCCCTCACCCCTTTATTTTAATTAATGCACAAAAGAAATTTGAAATAGTAGAATGCCAGTTTCTGAATTGGAGGCAGCAAGTTTTACTTTGAGAGCATGTTTAAGTGTTTTTAATGCACTTCTTTTTAGCACTTCTCTAAAGCATAGAGACAATTAAAGAAAACATGACTGTCAGTGCGACTTTTTAATTTGTTTTAGAATATTTGAAGACTTCATGTTAAAATCACATATGAGCATTTGCAGTCACGTGAGTCCGGAATGTAAATGCAAAAAACAGTGGAGCTGACTATTGAAAAGTGCCTAAAATACAGCCTCCAACACTGATATTAAAAGCAGATCCTCGGCTTGAAAAAAAAAATCATTGTGCAGCTTGATGATGCTTGCAGAAGTGAGTTTGACAGACAAGGACATGTGTAACACTAAGAAGTTACATGATCCTCGCTGTTCTGTAAGGCTTCATAGACAGGGCTTCATCCACCTTCTAGACACAGAAGCCAGTCTCCATATCCATGTGGGGGCATTCCTGTGTCCCTGAACATAAAATATATGTCAGTTCAATGCTTTTTACGGGTCTCATTTTACTCAAAGGGGTGAGGACAGAAAGGAGCATGAGAGTAAAGGTCAGAGGTTTTATGCTTTTGTTATTTTCTTGTATGTATTATGTTATTGCAAAATGTGCGTGTGTGTGTGTGTGTGTGTGTGTGTGTGTGTGTGTAAAACAAATTCAGGAATTTAATATGAGTAATTGGAATCAGAAGTGGCATCCACTTCCTAAACAACATGCCTCTGGAACTCTATGAACTTTGATAAATACCAATAGTTATAGAAAGGCTTTAGGCCTTTTGTTCATAGAGTCACTATGAGTTGTGCTCAACTCGACACCAGTCAACAACAAGAACAACATTTAAGTCTGGCTAGTAAAGTCATTTGAGTGCATGAATGATATACATCAACAGGAACTCTGTTATTCAATGTAGTGTATTTAACTTATTGCATATAATTATTCCTTTCATAACATGTTTTTAGCATGACCAGTTATAGCTTTATTGGCAAATGCTGTTAATAATTTCTTATGCTTTAAGCGTTTGTATGCCAACTTCACATTTAGAACATATTAAACAAGAATATTAAAGCACCATTCACATATTTTTATATGTATGCAGTAATTAGCAACAACTGTGCCACTGTCACTATCTGTTTAATAATAAATAGCATAACCCTTGTCAAAAAATGGAATTCTATTTTATAATTGACACATTTTTTACTATTTTCTCTATTAAAAATTTTGAGTGTCTAAAACTTCATTATAATAGTACTTTCTGACAATACTGTTTTTAAAAGAAATCTGTTTTAATGACAAGAAGCCTAATTTTCTATTCTAAAATATTCAAAAGCTTATTTTTAAAAAAAGCCTTTACTTGTTTTGAGTAGTGCAAAACTGTTTTTAAATCATGCCCATCATTGAAGCCACAACTTAACTACTGTTATAAATTAATTTACCACCAGTTCATTTTTATAATGATCATTATAAAAGAATAATTTTAAGTATAAATTCTTGATATTTTACAACTGTTAAACTCCAGTTTTAAAGTAGTTATTCTGGCATCAGTTTTCACACATAGTCTCAAATATACATTTTTTTTAATTTTCCCAAGATTTATATCTGCTCTTGGTGCAATGAAAATACTACTATATTTCCAATATAGAAAGGCACCTAGAAAAAATTTTGTCTGGACAATTTGGTAGCTCAAGTTTTTAAATGTGTTCATAAAAACTCATTCTGTGGTTACTAATTAGTGATTAGTATCTTCCATTTTTCAAGGCTTTTTAATTTGTAAAGAATTAGAAGCTATAAAAGTAAAGTTTATAGAGGTATGTCAAATAAATGTAATTAATAAAGAAAAGAGCCTAAATATATAATTATATTATACATTTATAAATTACATATTTATATATTGTATTATATTAAAAAAGTTAGGTAAATATGGTTTTCTTGAGAGTCTTCACTTTTTAAGATGTTTGTAAACTGCTTTATATTGACATGCTATTATCTCAGTATACAAGATATGTGTTTTTATTTCAAAATATATGATATATCTTCACTTGATTTTCAAAGAGTATTATACCCTATAAAAATTTCATTTCTGATCTTAATTACAACTAGGTGACATTTACTAGTCAATTTTATACTGTTAAATTAATGTATAAGTATCCATAGAAAAACATATTGTCCAAAGTCAAAACTCAAACTCATTGCTGCCAAATCAGAATTAACTCCTAGCTGACCTTCCACCGGATTTCTGAGACTATACTAAGGTGGGAGAAAATTGCCCATCTCTCTCTCAAGGAGCCGCTAGTGGATTTTAACCTCCATACAGGTGTGGCTTGTGGGTTAACAACACAACTCCTTATGACTAGGCCATGTTGTTGCTGCTTGTAGGTACCGTCAAGTTGAGTACAATTCATAATTATCCTATGAACAACAGATCTGAACCTTGGCCTTAGTCTAATCAATATAAAAAATATATTTACACAAGCAGATGAAGTAAGGTATTTTAGATGTGTGTTTATACATAATTAAATATTATTATACAGGTGTATATTTTTAAAGAAATAAGAAACAGAAATAAATTTAATTCCTTGTCAAAATATGTTTTCCTTCTTCTTGTTGTGGAGTCTTCCTTGAACTAACCAACTCAATGTCATTTGCATCTCTTCCTTAGGTCTCAGAAGAAGTGAAAGCTTGTCAGAAAAGCAGGTGAAAGAAGCTAAATCCAAATGCAAGAGTATTGCCCTCCTTCTAACAGATGCCCCCAACCCCAACTCCAAGGGGGTGTTGATGTTTAAGAAACGACGCCGGAGGGCCAGGAAATACACCCTAGTCAGCTACGGCACTGGAGAGCTTGAGCGCGAGGCAGACGAGGAGGAAGGAGGTGACAGAGAGGATTCCTGTGAAATAGCATTTCTAGGTACAAGTGAGTCAGAGGTAGATGAAGAGTTATTGTCGGACGTTGACGACACACAGGTGGTGACCTTTGACTGGGATTCTGGACTGGTGGACATTGAAAAGAAACTGAACACAAGAGACAAGATGGAGATGCTTCCAGACACCACAGGCAAGGGGGCCCTCATGTTTGCCAAGCGGAGGGAGAGGATGGATCAGATCACAGCCCAAAAAGAGGAGGAGAGGGTGAGTGCGATGCCAAGCAGAGCGCCCGATGCTGCACAGACAGATGGTCTGACAACCATATCTTCCTACCAGAGAAAGGAAGAAGAGAGAGTGCAAACTGCCATGAGCAGAAGCTACGCGGAGGTGAGTCATGGCTTTGGCAATGTACCCCAACAGAATGGCTTCAGTGGGGTGCCTGAGACAGCAGAGGCCCAGAGGATAATTCCTATGAACAGAACAGCAAAGCCGTTCCCGGGATCTGGGAACCAGCCAGCAACCCCTTTCTCCCCAACTCGAAACATGACAAGTCCCCTCGCTGACTTTCCGGCGCCTCCCCCTTATTCTGCCATCACTCCTCCTCCTGATGCCTTCTCCAGAGGGGTGGTGAGTCCCATAGCTAGCCCAACACAGCCACCTCCATGGCCTCAGCCTGCCCCCTGGTCTCAGGCAGCCTTCTACGATTCATCGGAGCGAATAGCTTCAAGAGATGAGAGGATTGCCGTGCCAGCCAAAAGAACGGGAATATTGCAGGAGGCAAAAAGGAGAAATACCACAAAACCCATGTTCACCTTCAAGGAGCCCAAAGTAAGCCCAAATCCCGAACTCTTGTCACTTCTGCAAAATTCAGAAGGCAAGCGGGGCACCGGAGCTGGAGGTGATTCTGGACCGGAAGAAGACTACCTCAGCTTAGGCGCAGAGGCTTGCAACTTCATGCAGAGCTCTTCTGCTAAGCAAAAGACCCCGCCACCAGTTGCTCCGAAACCTGCAGTCAAGTCATCCTCTCAACCAGTAACCCCTGTAACTCCAGTTTCTCCAGTCTGGTCCCCAGGAGGAGCTCCAAATCGTCCTCCTACCTTCCCCACTTCAAACTCAGTCCAGGGCCCTGTTGTATCTTCTATCAAAATAGCCCAGCCTGCTTACCCTCCTGCCCGGCCTGCAAGTGCCCTGAACCTGGGTGGACCCTACAAAGGGCCACAAGCGGCAGTAGCCAGCCAGAATTATGCACCCAAACCAACAGCTCCTGCACCAACAGTGAATACTGCTCATGCTAGTGCAGTGGGACCATCCAATGAGCTTCCAGGAATGAGTGGGAAAGGGGCCCAGCTCTTCGCCAAAAGGCAGTCGAGAATGGAGAAGTATGTGGTGGATTCAGACACGGTGCAGGCCCATGCTGCCCGGGCTCAGTCTCCCACTCCGTCTCTACCAGCCAGTTGGAAGTATTCCTCTAATGTCCGAGCCCCTCCTCCAGTGGGCTACAATCCTATCCTCTCCCCCTCCTACCCACTTGCTGCAGTCAAGTCCCAGTCATCCGCCCCACAGGCCTCCAAAACAAGCAAGAAAAAGGGCAAGAAGCCCCTCAATGCCTTGGATGTGATGAAACATCAACCATATCAGCTAAATGCGTCCTTGTTTACGTTCCAACCTCCAGATGCAAAGGAGAGCCTCCCCCAGAAGTCAACAGCCAGGTTTAATTCTGGGCCAGCCTTGAAGCAAGCCCTTCCACCCCGGCCAGTGAATGCTAGCTCTCCCACCAGTGTACAGCCTTCATCAGTGTACTCAGTTCCAGCCTATAGCTCTCAGCCTGCCTTCATTGCAGAGGCCACCTCACCAGTCAGCGCATCCCCAGTGCCTGTGGCTATCCCCACCTCTCCAAAGCAGGAATCCACTGCAGCATCTTATTTCGTGGCACCAAGGCCTAAGTTCTCCGCCAAGAAAAGTGGTGTCACGGTTCAGGTGTGGAAACCATCTATTGTGGAAGAGTAATGAAGTAGCTGCCGCTGAGTGTCCACTATGCTTGAAATGCATTGTTTGCCGTGTTCCTTCACTCCCCGAGAATGTCTAGCCAGTCCTCAACTTACTTAATTTCAGATATATCATCTCCCAATCTGGGTCCAAGGAGCAAAATATGTTTGAAGCGTCAAAAATCTAACTCAGATTGACTTAGAATATATTTCTCCTCTTTGCACACTTATGAAATTTGGGAGCACCCCAAAATAGACATGTGCCAATATATTAAGTAAGCAGGATTTGTAGGATTTATATATTAGCCACATGACAGTGATTGGTGTTTTCAAACATTAGGACACAGCCATTCTGTAACAAGATGTCTGTGTGCCTAAGATGAAAAAATTCAAATGCAGAGAAAATATACCATGGATTGACTGAGATTTATTTTTCAAGCAGTGCTTTATTTCTATTGTTAATATTAAGGGAATAAGAAATTTATCAGGCACAGGGATCTGCTCTGGTCTATCAACCTCAGCCATGTGTTTGATACTGCAGAGATGGTACCCTAGGAATTGTCAGAATGTATATAGTTTAGTAAGAGGAAGGGAAGAAGGAGGGTTTCATTAATAATTACTGATGGCACAGGACAGGGCAGAGTTCAGATCTATTGTTTATGGGTCACTTTGAGTCATAGTTGACTCTTTGCACTTAACCACAACTTACTATTCATTGAAGTCCTAGGGTGGTGCAAAGATGCTGGGCTACTAACTTAAAGATCAGCAGTTCAGTGCCACCCAGAGGCATCTAAGAATAAAGGCCTTTTATTCTCCTTTTAAAAATGCCAACCACTGAAAACCCTATGGAACAAAGTTCTATTCTGATATCATGGGGTTGCCAAGAGTTGGAGGGTCTCAAGGGCACTTGGTTTGGTTATTATACATTAGGGGGTTTTGTCAGATATTTTACATATATTTACTCATTTGAGAAGACTTGTTTATAGGAAGTGAACTGGGTGAGAATAAGATTGATCTTCTCCTCCTCATCCTTCTCCACTTTCTTAGGAACTAAAGTGAGTGAGTGAGCTCATCTCCAATTGCCCATGAAAGCATTAGTTTGTTTTCCGTAGCTGAGGCAACAGGAGAGTGCAGAATAATGGAATAAGGTTTAAAAAGGTGTACAAAGTGCACATAAAGGTGTACATGGTTTTAACTTCACCTTTAGAAACTGAACATTTGAAGCCTGAGGGGTTACCAACAACAGGGGCTGATGGTGAAGCTTGAGGAACCCATGCGTGTGGAGGCTGTAGGGTGAGAACACAGAATTACTAGCATCATTTCTGAGTGACCTCACAGATTTTTCTCATGTTTGTTTTGCTTTTTGATGGCTTCTTCCACTGTTCCTTTCAAGTCTATTCTTGCACCTTCACTTTGTTATTTATATTTGATGGACCAGGAGGATCCAGGCAAGGTTACCTTGTAAGTTTGGATTTGTGACACATCACGTCATCATCCAGCTGGCTATGAAATTAGTAATGTTACTGACGGTAAACCTGAAGACCTTTCTCGTATCTATTTTTAGGCTGAGTCTGAACGGTCATAGGAAATATCCAACATGAGTTAATGTAGAGAACTACAAAGAATTTATGACAGCTCCAAGGAAAACCTTCTACTCTGTACAGGAAATAATCTTTAGAGACTTATCTTAAAAACTTGCCTGGTTTGAAGGTACATGGTACCATTTTAATTCTTTGAAAATATCTGTATTCCTGTTCTTTTCTGCTGTCACTGTCAATCTGCTATATTTTTCACTATCCTATTAAAATATTATTCTTCTTTCTCTATTGGTTGTATATATATTATTTTAAGTCTTCCCTGTATGATCTGTTCTGATCTAAGTCAATTGGTTGATATTTCTCTTATATTCCTTCTGTATTACCTGAATTTCCTTCTGTAAGCATGCTTATTTCTCATACATAGTGAAAATTTAAGCCTTTGATATTTTTAAAATTACACTTGAAGAGGAGAAGTTTTCCACAAAACAGCGGGCTGATTCTTGCATTTTTCTCTAGAAAATATTCTATTGCCTTTTGTGGCAATTCTTCTAGAGGTTACCAGCACCAGATGTAGATTGGCTGATTATTTGCCTTTGTGGGAAACTAATTAGGATGATTAATGCAGGATGAAGGAAGCAAGCAATTTATTCATTATGTAACAATAATCTTTAAAAAAAACTGTTCCCTACAAAGGAAATCTATTGAATGCTGCATATTTTGCATTCTTTTCAAATGGAACACCAAACAAGCAAACAATAAAGTCTTCTTAAGGTGTAACAGGAAAGATACTCTTTATAACTTTACATTCTTAACATAGCCTGTAAATCATGGCATGCGTCAGAGGGAATGTCATGGGATATGCAGGTAGACCATCTGAGATCATTGGTTCAAATGTAGACTAGTCTGGTAATGACCCAGAATTATTCCCAGTTGTTCAGTGATTTGTGGTATGTAGGAATGAGAAGTGTTTTCAGTCCATTTCCTGTTGAACAGGTGGAGATCTTAACTGAGCCACTATTTGGGGTTGATGACTAAAGGCACAACTAGTATAATTGTATCTTCTAGTCAATCTGGGACTGTTTGGGGTTCCCAAAAAGCTTCTGAGAGACATGCCAGGCATGCAAAGCATCCACAGTTGAAGCAAGGAATTGGTAGCATTGGTTTCAGCTTGAGCTATCCAGTCCTACCTTATAAAAGAAGGGTGAGATTCTTCTAAACCTCTACCCACAACAGTGATTGTGACCTCACCCTGTAGGCTGTGCGGGTGGAGGGGATGGATGGAGGGGATGACAAACACCAATCTAGCTCCCAGGAGTGATAGGGATTTCCTTGACCTCTTCTTCCTCTATCTGGGAGCTTTAGGGGACTTGCATGTAGATTAAACTCTCTGTATCACCTTTCTTGTTGGGGCTATGGAAGTGACATCAATGTGACAAGTTGGAGAGGTACACTTGTGACAGCTTTCCTCCTGCTGTGCACCCTCGGCCATCTGAGTGTTACTGGATTTGTTGTGGTAGCAACAGGTTAGTTGATTGGGTGACTGATTGTGTAGTTTGGGGGCAGAATTTTGTTTAGATTTTCACACCTTGTCTCTTCATTTCCATTGCAATCCAGTTACTGAGTGGTTGTGCTATGTTAAATGCCTCTATACCTTATTTCAAGGGATCCGCTGCATGATTTACAAGCACCAGACTATAGACTAAAATGTTACCATGCTTACTGACTTAGTGTATAACCTGAGCAAGTCTCTCTTTGCTTGAGTTTTCCCTAACATTTCAGACCTTCTGAGTGTGCACAAATACTTGAGATTCTAAGAGAAAAGGTGTGACGTCCAAATAAGGACAGCATTTATCACCTTTCTTGATCTTGCTAGAGGATGGATTGAATCACATAGATCTGGTAAGATTGGGGAGTTGAGTTTGAACCTTAGAACACAATTTCATTACTAATATTTCAATCATAGTCACATTCTATCTTGAGGGAGAGGGAAATCACATTGTTTTCTGGATGTGTACTATCCATCAATAGCATAAGACATAAATATTTACAAATGAGTTTTGTAAGGCACATTTTAGTGGTCTTTATAAGTATATAAATGTCTGTACTTCAAAATATACCTACTATGATTGTTAATAATAGAATATATCATGTACCCAGCATATACTATCTTCACAAGGAGCAACCCGTTTTGACCTTAGGAAAACCAAGCTGAGTCACAAATAATTCTTCAAAGTAAGCCAGCATTATTTAACCATTCTGGATGGGGCCGGCTTCTTTCAAGAAGTAAGTATCGTGGAACAGCTGAGGATTTTAACTCAGCCTAAATTCTAGCCTAGCCGTAAGCGTCAAATCTGAGATGTTAAGAACAAGCGGTCTATGTTTAAAGGGGGGAGGGAGCTCACATTTCTGGGACCCTTTTCTTATTTTCAGTTACTGAATTAAAGAATTTTGAAAATAATTTACTGCTGAAAGCAAGTCAAATGTTCTGACTGTGTGACAGTTTCACAGAAAAGTCTGTTGAGATCACGAGAAGACACAGTTTTTAGTGTTCGTGTTTCAATTTAATCTTTGCAGTATAAACTCTTCTGTGCATCTGACTTCATCCAGTTGTAAGACAGAGAACTTGCAGGAACTCACAGTCTAAGGGAATGTTGTTGAAATCAGTTCCTATCCCATGAGTCACCGCCAGATTGGCAGGAAGGGTGTTGAAGTCATGGTCATCAGAAGAAGTGATTGTTTTCTGAAAAGCTAAATACTTCCAGAGGGAGGTATGCATTCATCTCCTCCTAAAATGAAGATTGTGGAGTTTATTTTAAAACATTTTATAAGTTCATGAGAAAAAGATACAAATTCTAAAAACCAACATTATCTTCTCCTGAAACATTGACCCCAGCTGGTCCCATGTCCCCATATCACTGGACTCGGGGGACACGAAGACACATGTAGCACTTTAGTGCTGTGGAGATTGTCAACAAGTGTTCTGGGAAAAAGCAGAAGGGAATTCTTCTCTAGATTTCCCACCAGAGTTGGCCTTATGCCATAAAGCAGGCTAGCATTTCCCATAGGACCTAATGACCAGGCAAAATTTTCAAAAGAAGCCGTTTTCTGTTAGTTCTGCCACAGTTCCTTGAAACGAACCAACAAAAAAAATTTTACAGGTCTTCCTATGAATCATCAGGGCAATCACAGTCCTGGAAAAGTCCGCGTCAGAACTTGATATTAACAGATGCAGCAATCTTTCCAATATTTGTCTCTATAGGACTTATATTTATACACTAAATTACCATTTGCCATTTGACAATCAGAGAATCTACTACTCAGAGGCAACTGAATGGAAAAGAATTTAATTAAAAAACCATCAAACCATTTCTCAGTCTCCTGATTTTATCATAGCTTTGTCAGCTAGTAAAGTGTGCCTCAAGTTTAAGGGGAGAAAGTTAGGCTCTTTATAGGG